GTACTATAGACTTTCAGTATGCTGCCCCATCATTTCATTTTAAAAGTTACAAAGAAAAATGTGTAAAAACAATATTCCTCCTATCTCTCAAAGTAAGCATTAAAATGTAGAGATACACCTGAAAATATACCAAAAATGGAATTTCTTAAGGCAGAGGCAGTCATGTACTGGTGTGGAGGTAATTCAATTATCTTCTTTATGGAGAAATTCATCTCCAAAGCACTGCTGCTAAAGTGAGCAGTGACAAAATCAAATAACCACACATTATCAACCAAGATGGTAGACAGTGACTTTGCTGTGAAATGGAACACTAAGGATGGTGAATATCACTGCCCTGCACTTTGCTGGCCATTGACTACAAACAGCTGGCAACCGAGGTAACAACGCACCTCAAACTATGATGGCCGCATTGTAGGCCCACTCCTCGGCTGCTGGGCACATCGGCAGATTTCCTAACTCTCGGAGAGTCATCTACCTTCCCTCCAACTTCTCCTGGTCCCCTGTCCCCCCGCTGCCCGGATGGGCAAGAAGACTGGAGCCGCCCACACCTCCAGCGCTCAGCGAGCCGTGCCAGAACTTGCGGCCCACCTGCCAGAGGCCGCATCTGAAGCCCCTGCCCCAATTTCGGGGCCCCCGCCGGAGGCCACATCCAAAGCCCCGGCCTCAATTTCGGGCTGGCGCTACCCATGGATGGGCCAGATCCCAGCGGTGTTGCTGACCTGGCATCAGAGACATCCCTGCAGTCACCCACTCCAGCTCTGAGGGATGCTGAGCGCCTGCGCCACTTCAAGTCTATGCTGCAGTCGGAATTATCCTCCGCTACTTCCAAGCTGGCTGACCGTCTTTCGCGAGAAATCCGGGAGTTGGGAAATCGGGCGAACAATCTCGAAGATAAAATGGACGCTGCGGTCATGGTCATTGAAAGTCATGAACAGGATCTGTGTGACCTCAAGAAAGAATTGGTGGTGGACACGCTGCTCCAGCTTGAGGATTTCAAAAACTGTTTCCGCCGTAGAAATTTGCGTTTAAGGGGTATCCCAGAAACTGTCACAGATCTCACTTCAACTGCTACTGCTCTTTTTCAGGAGCTGACGCCCGCCATACCCATTGGTCGGCTTGAATTTGACCGCATATACCGTACTATGGGCTCCAGACGGCCGGATGGGCCCCCAAGAGACATCATCATCAAATTCACTTACTATCACACTATGGAAACTATTCTCTTGGTAGCCAGAAACAACCCAGACCTCAGATTCCAGGGGCATCGCTACCAGCTCTTTGTGGACCTCTCCCAGACCACTCTTCAGAAGCGTCGCCAGTTGAAGCCCTTCACTTCGGTCCTGGTGAACTGCATAATTAAATACGCCTAGGGCTTTCTGTTCTGCCTCACCTTCAACTACCAGGGCCGCAGCCACTCTGTTGCCACACCAGAGGAGGCCCCCACACTCTCCTGGAATCTTTACACCTTCTTCTGCCGGAAGGCACTACTCAGAGCCCAGCCCCTTCTTCTGGATTTCCGGTGAGGCTGCTTCTTCTGGGTCACCTCTGGGAGTGGTTGTCCAACAGGAAGAGGGCCCTCCCTCAGACCCTTCAACAATCTAGTCCATCCTGCTCCTCTCCGGGCTGAAGCTGTTCTCGGACCTCCCACGTTGTGTCTCACCGTTGGACTTTCCGGATGGGACCATGAGTTTGGCCCTTAATGCATCCCTGGTTTGTTAGTGTTCCAGGATTGGGCCTGGTCTGGCCTGTTCCCTTGGGTTCCATCCTTGAGTATGGGGGGGGGTCACCTCCTGGACTTGAGGACTGTGACTTTTTGCCATTGTGGCCTACTACGGGTCCAGGTGACGTTGCTCGGGTTCACATTAGTGGAATGATATGATAGTTCCCTTGGGCTCCGGGGTGGGAGGTTGGCCCGGATGGGCCCTAGTTGGGTGCCAGGATGTTGGTCCTACTAGATGGTTGGTGGGGGATCACTTGGGCTGTGTTGTGGGGTACCATGGCAGCCTGTAGTCATCCTCCTGGAGGGGTTCCCCCAAGTTTAGCTGGGGAGGTTTAGCTGGGGAGGTCCGTTATGTTGTGTTTATTTTCTTTTTGACACCCGAGGGCTTATGTTTTTGATGTTTTCAATTGCAGCCATGTGTCCGGTGATAGAGCCACCCCCAACTGGTATCCTTCAAGTGTAGGGTGCACGTCACCATTGGCATGATACGATTGTACTATTGTACTATTGTACATACTCCTTGTGTCATCTTCTTCTTTCCTTTTCTTGTTTTCTTTTCTTCTCTTCTCTTTTTCTGTTTTATGCAGGGTTTCGGGACGCCATGGTCCGACCGCCATTGGGAGTAGAAATCATTGGCTGACTTATGCGTTTTCAGCTGAGTGTGCTGTGCTGATATCGCCATGGCCTCACCCTTTTTGAAAGTACATTCACAAAATGTTCATGGCTTCAATTCGCCTCAGAAGATGGCTAAAGTTTTTCATCACCTCAAATTGCAACAAATTGAGGTGGTGTGTTTGCAGGAAACCAGGTTTTCTCATTTCTCTGCTCCATGGTATCTGTCTACCCATTATCCCACTTTTTACACGGCCTCGGCTTTTGAGAAACGCCAGGGTGTATTGATAGCTTTTAAACGCAATCTCCCCTTTGTCTATGCTCGGAATATAGAGGACCCCACGGGCAAGTATTTTCTCCTACAGGGCACCCTCTGGGACCAGGAGGTTACTTTTGTCTCTTACTACGCGCCCAATCACTTTCAGCATTAATTTCATTCTCATCTTTGCACCATCGTTTCCCAACACTCCAAGGGTCTTCTTCTTTTGGGAGATTCAAATGTCACCTTGGATTCTGCTTTGGATAGGCGCTATGCCCCGGGGGCAGCCCCTTCTCATGACTATGCGCTCTCTCTTGCAGATGGCGGGGCTGGTGGACGTCTGGAGGGAACTTCACCCAACTGAGCATGACTTTACATTCTATTCCAATCCTCATGACAGTTTTTGTAGAATTGACCATATATCCATGCATGTCCAGCAGCTTCCCTTGGTCAGGGGGATATCTATTCCCTCCTCGCTCTGGTCGGATCACGATCCTCTGGTACTCCTTGCCCTCTCTGGGTCGGTACGGCGCCCCTTTCACTGGCGCATTAATGAATCTCTATTGACCACTCAGGTTACCTGCCAGCAAATAGAATCTTTCTTACATACATACTTTACGGAAAACTCGGGATCTGTCTCTTCGGCAGTGCCCCTGTGGGAGGTGCATAAAGCCACGGTGCTGGGTCACATTATACAGCTGGTGGTGGCGTGGAAGCGAGAGCGCTGACCTTTGGATCTTCATTCTCTACTGGCCTCTGCGAATGCTCGTTGGAAGTCATTTCCATCCGCGGCTCATAAAAGCGCACGGACAATCTGGTTGCAGAGTTGGACCTACTTGCTTCTTTGGAGGCGGAACGGGCCCTGCGACCAAACATTCATTTTATTCATGTGCTAATAAGCTGGGTCTGATGCTGGCCAGGAAACTCAATTCTGTGGGGAAACCCCACAAACTGATCCGATTTAGAATTCCCGCTGGTGGCTGTACTTCTAATCCCCAGCAGATTGTTTCCTGTTTCACAGACTTCCTTTTGCACCTTTACCCTAAACCAGATCCCTTCCCTGTGGCTCAGACAAAGGGATTCTTTCAAGATCTCCGACTTCTTGATTTATCCAAGGCAGCGCAGATGGCCTTCAATGCTGGGGTCACCGTATCGGAAGTGCTCCAAGCTATCAAATCTCTACGGTCCCGATGGCTTTTCCAGTCTCTATTATAAGAAATTTGCAACCCTGTTGGTGCCCTTCTTGACTGATTATTTTAATGAGTTACAACAGGGCTCTTTGCCATCTCCAGATGTGCTTAGAGCTCATATCTCCATGATTCCTAAGACGACTGATGATGTGCAGGAACCGCATGCCTTTCAGCCCATTTCTCTTCTTAATGAAGATCTGAAGGTATTGGGCAAGATCCATAGTCTTTGTATCAATAAATATTTTTACGTAGTCTGGTCCACAGGGACCAACTAGGTTTCGTCCCTGGGAAGCAGTCGGGTGATAACATTCGTAAGGTGGTCCATCTTATACACTTTCTACAACAAAATCCCGGGATTCTTACTGTCCTTAGATTCTCTATCCTGGGAATATCTGCGGTTTGTACTATCTCATTAGGGTTTTGGGGATTCTATTCTTTCTTGAATTCAAGCCTTGTATTCTTCCCCCTCGGCTTCCATTAAATACGCTGGGTATTTTTCAGATCCCTTTTCTATTTGGCTAGGGATGAGATAGGGTTGCCCCCTGTCCCTGGCGCTCTTCGTCCTGGTGCTTGAGCCACTGGCTTTAGCTCTCCGAGATGATTGTAATGTATTGGGTGTTCCATACGCAGGGCAGGAGTTTAAGTTGAACCATTTTGCTGACGATGCCCTCTTGACTCTCACTAATCCCCTGATGACGCTTCCAAATTTGCAACAGGTTCTTGAGCGATTCACCTTGATTTCAGGTCTCCGTATTAATTTGGCTAAGACTGACGCTCTCAATAATAATTTGGCCTCAGATTTGGTTTTGCGCCTACAATCCCACTTTCCTTACAAATGGGCTTACTCTTCTCTTGAATACCTAGGTATTCGCTTGACTCCCACCTATACCTCGTTGTTTGCTGCAAATTATTATCCATTGCTTCGCTCTGTGTCCTCTCTTATGCACTCCTGGCAATTTGTCTTGGATAGGATGGGTTAATTCAGTGAAAATTACTATTTTGCCGAAATTGTTATACTGTTTTCACACCCTCCCAGTGAGGGTTCCTCCTCATTTCCTTCGGTTGATTCGGGCAAAGATTATGCATTTTATCTGGGCCGATAAGCGCCCCAGAGTCTCCAGAAATACGCTTTTTATTCATAGACTCCAGGGTGGTCTTGGGGTGCCTAATGTAACTAAGTATTATCAGGCAAGCAAGATTGCCCTGCTATCTATATTGCACGCTTCCTCTGATGTTCCTCTCTGGGTCCTGCTGGAACTACCTAACTGCGCCCCTACTGCGACATCAACGCTTCTATGGCTTCCCCCTGCCCTACGCCCTAGGACACTGGTGGGCAACCTTTTTTTTCAACTGAGCCAAATCTCGCCAAAACCACAATTGAAATTTATTTTGAGAGCCACATTTTTAAAACTGAAAATACATCCCCCATATAGTAATTCATCCCCCATAGTAATTCATCCCCCATATAGTAATTCATCCCCCATAGTAATTCATCCCCCATATAGTAATTCATCCCCCATAGTAATTCATCCCCCATAGTAATTCATCCCCCATATAGTAATTCATCCCCCATACAGTAATTCATCCCCCATAGTAATTCATCCCCCATATAGTAATTCATCCCCCATATAGTAATTCATCCCCCATAGTAATTCATCCCCCATATAGTAATTCATCCCCCATATAGTAATTCATCCCCCATAGTAATTAATCCCCCATATAGTAATTCATTCCCCATAGTAATTCATTCCCCATAGTAATTCATCCCCCATAGTAATTCATCCCCCATAGTAATTCATCCCCCATATAGTAATTCATCCCCCATAGTAATTCATCCCCCATATAGTAATTCATCCCCCCTATAGTAATTCATTCCCCCTATAGTAATTCATTCCCCATATTGTGTCAATTCACTTACCTTTGCTCCGCGCGTTCCTCTCGCCGTGTTCCCGTGCCGTTCCGGTCTTCAGGGCGGACTGTGAGAGGAGAGGAGTTCGTCACGCTGCCCCGCCTACATCCTGACAGCCAATGTGCTGGGCGCCCGAGAGGAGGGAGGGGAGCGGGCGCCCGAGAGGAGGGAGGGGAGAGGGCGCCCGGCACAGAAGAGCTGCATTAAATTGTGTAAAGAGCCGCATGTGGCTCGCGAGCCGCAGCTTGCCGACCACTGCTCTAGGACACTCAGTCTGATTTTGTTCCATGGTCTACAAGAAGAGACTCGGTACGCTACTCCAGTGGCCTGATGTCACCTTTCCTACCTTTGCTCCCAATTGTTAACAACCCACTTTTCCCACCAGGTTTAGATCAACCAAGGATGTTTTCTTGGTGGGTGGCCAATGGTTTTTTGCAGGTGCGCCACTTTTTGACTTCTCGGTCCTTCCCCACCTGGAATTCTCTTTGGGAGTCACAGGATGTCCCTCCGGCGGAATTTTTTCATTACCTTCAACTGCTGCATTGGCTGATCTCACTGTGGGGCACTTCCGCCTCACCATATTGGAAATCTGCCTTTGAACAGCTTTGCCAACATCGTCTGGGCACCCCGGGCCTTATTTCCCTTCTTTATGCAGCTTTGAACAGATGCTCGACGCATACTTCTCTTTTATATGTTGCTCAAATGGAGCGTGACTTGGGGGCAGTCGTGGATCTGGAGGACTGGAATAGGATCTGGTTGTTTATAGCTAAATGTTCCTTTAATACGACCACTCTGGAGGCGGCATACAAAGTATTGTTTCGCTGGTATTGGGTTTCCGGCTTGTTTGGCCCAGGCAAACCCTGCCTGCAGTGATTGATGCTTTCGGGGTTTTAGCCATCGTGGTGATGTACTGCATATCTGCTGGTCATGTCCAAGACTGATTGTTTTTTGGTCTCATGTGTTTGGCCTCCTTTTTACCTTGTTCCATCTCCCCATACGTCGGGATGCTCGGTATGCTTTGCTTTATTGTCCCATACTGGGCCTATTTGCTCACCAGCAGAAGTTGGCTTCCTATTTGTTTTTGTCGGCCACTAGAACAATTGCTCAGGCATGGAAGCACCCGTTTGTCTCTCTTCAGAGGATAAGGGGCCGTATGTCCACTATGATGCTTAATGAACAGATGTCGAGTATTTGTAACGACTCCCAACGGAAATTTTTGAAAATATGGGAGCCGTGGTTGCAATATGCCCTTCCCACGCTCCACCCTGCTAGTCTGGGGTTGTGATGTTGCTCGGTATTGGTGTTCCCAAACCCCTGCTCATGGTCTTGTCATCTTTTTCCTTTTATACTCCTCCTTCCTTTTCTATTTCTGTTTGTTTTTGGTGTGGCAGTGGATAGCTGCCTTTGGATTGAGTTACTGTTGATGTTATACCAATGTTTTTGTCATTTATGTGCCATTGAAAGCCCCTGCGTGGGTGCACCTTTTGCTCTGTTGGTGTTAGAGCACGGTTTTCTTTATTTTTTTATGTGCAATTGATGGCCTCTGCATGGGCGTTGCTTCTGTTTTTTTTAAATGTTTATAAACTAATAAAAATAATTTATATTCAAATAATTTTTATGGAAGAAATTTTCAACAAACAATTTATTACAACATGTGAAACAAATATGGAACGAGAAATGTTCACAATAAAATGTATTATCAAAAAAACAAACATACATTAGAGGAAGCGGGTTCCCACTATTTAGCTGGGAACGATGTAGCAGGGCCTCGGATACTTGAGAGAGGTATGCTCAGAGCATTGTGAACTTTATATGGTTGAACATGTGATAAACCATAGAGGGGAGAGGGGCTAGAAGGGAGGGAGAGGGGGGGGGCACCAGTCAAATGTGTTGGCAATAGTATGGTGGTATGTTAATATAGTTGTCAATTAACAGAGCAATTAGGGTCTTGAAGCCACCGAGACCATTGAAAACAGAATTTGTGGTATGAGAAATTTTGGATTGCTGTTCTCTTTTCCAATCTCACAATGGAGATTAAGCTCAGCAATGAGGGTTGAGAGCGAGGGGGATGTGGTGGATTTCCATAATTTAGTAATATTGCTTTTTGCTACTGCTAGTACGTGAATTATGATAGTACGGGAGTCCGTGGGAAAGTTTTCTATTCCTATGTGAAGGAGAGCTATTGCTGGGTTTGGAGCCGTTGGAACTTTAGATATGGAGGAGATCAATTGGAATACTCTATTCCAATACGATGTGAGAGATTTACATGACCAAAGTATATGGAGGGTCGTTCCTATTTCTCCGCATTGTCTCCAGCACTTGGGCGAGTGTTGTGTGTAGTAAAGGTTGAGTTTAACAGGTGTTAGATACCACTGATGTAAGATTTTCATGTATGATTCCCAGTGGGAGTTACATTTGGATGCTTTGTATGTGGTATTGAAGGTTTTCGACCAAGTGCATGGAGAGACTGGTTGATGGAGTATTTTTTCCCAGTTAGTCAGGGAAGTGGTATGGATATCAAACTGAGTGTTATTTATAATCATGTAAAAGGTTGAGATTCCCTTCTTGGGGTAATGTGACCTTTGAAAGAAGAGGTATGCCGTGGAGTGGACTGTCAGTTCTAGAGATAAATCCATTGTGTGTAAGGAGTGGGCAATTCTCATGTATGTGAATCTTTCATTGTCAGGAAGGTGGAATTTTTCTTGGAGGTTAGCAAACGATTTTAGCTTATAACTAGAGATGAGCGAATTATTCAAAAATTCGGTTCGGCTGATTCGCCGAATTCGCCGATTAAATTCGCTTCGTGCCGAATATATTCGCTGCGAATTTAACTTATAAAAAGGGTGTTTCTAGGCTTCAGAGAGCCTTTATATTAGTGCAGAACACTGTACCTTTAATTTAAATGCCCTTGGAGTCTGCTGGGGAAGAGAAATAATACTGTCAGTCAGTATGACATGCATATGAGTGCCGTCGATCTTAGAATCACCGCACACTTCACTCATTTGGGCAGTCACGGGGCCAAAACCAGAGTGTGGAGCCACAGTGTGGCGGTGGAGGCAGCAGCAATGGGAGGCCATACAGCACCCTATGACAAAATGGAACCCACCAGCAGTGTGAGGAGACCTGAAAGTGGCACATGGCAGAGTGTGGCGATGGAGACAGCAGCAATGGGAGGCCGTACAGGGACCCATGACACACTCTGGACCTGGCAGCAGCATGAGGAGGCGGTACAGGGGCCCATGACAGATTACGGGCCTGGCAGCAGCATGAGGAGTCGGTACGGGGGCCCATGGCAGATTACGGGCCTGGCAGCAGCATGAGGAGGCGGTACAGGGGCCCATGGCAGAGTGGCGGAGCGTAAGCAGCTAAAATTGAAGACCATACAGAGGCCTATGTTAAAAAGTCCCCCCAGCAGCAGCGTGGGGAGACGACTATCAAGAGTCCAATGGCAGAGTGGCGGAGCAGAAGCAGCTTCAATTGAAGGCCATACACAGGCCTAGGTTAAAAAGCGGAAGCCGTCAGCAGCAGCGTGAGCAGACGACAGAGACACATGGCGCAGGGTGGCAGTGGATGCAGCAGTATTCGGAAGCCAAACACAGTCCTCGGGTTAAAAAGCAGAAGCCGTCAGCAGCGTGAGCAGACGACAGAGGCACATGGCGCAGGGTGGCGGTGGAGGCAGCAGCAATGGAAGGCCATACAGCACCCTATCACAAAATGGAACCCACCAACAGTGTAAGGAGACCTGAAAGTGGCACATGGCGCAGGGTGGCGGTGGAGGCAGCAGTATTCGGAAGACATACACAGGACTAGTTTAAAAAGCGGAAGCCGTCAGCAGCGTGAGCAGACGACAGAGGCACATGGCGCAAGGTGGCGGTGGAGGCAGCAGTATTCGGAAAGCCATACACAGGCCTAGGTTAAAAAGCGGAAGCCGTCAGCAGCGTGAGCAGACGACAGAGACACATGGCGCAGGGTGGCGGTGGATGCAGCAGTATTCGGAAGCCAAACACAGGCCTCGGTTAAAAAGCGGAAGCCGTCAGCAGCGTGAGCAGACGACAGAGGCACATGGCGCAGGGTGGCGGTGGAGGCAGCAGCAATGGAAGGCCATACAGCACCCTATCACAAAATGGAACCCACCAACAGTGTAAGGAGACCTGAAAGTGGCACATGGCGCAGGGTGGCGGTGGAGGCAGCAGTATTCGGAAGACATACACAGGACTAGTTTAAAAAAGCGGAAGCCGTCAGCAGCGTGAGCAGACGACAGAGGCACATGGCGCAGGGTGGCGGGTGGAGGCAGCAGTATTCGGAAGCCATACACAGGCCTAGGTTTAAAACTGGAACCCAGCAGCGTGAGCAGACGACAAAGACGCACATGGCAGAGGATGGATCTGGCAGCAGTATGAGAAGGCGGTACAGGGGCCCGTGGCACAGTGTGGTGATGGGGGCTACAGCAACTGGATGCCAGAAAGTGGCCGATAGGGCTATATACTGCATGACTACATAGGTGGTTTTTATAGTACTTTATTTTGGCCTCCCTCTCAGCAGGTGTGAAAAAGGCCACCATTTTTGAACGGTAGCGAGGGTCCAACAAGGTGGACAGCCAAAAGTCATCCCTCTGTCTGATGGTTATTACTCGGCTGTCGCTACGCAAGCAACCGAGCATGCTATTGGCCATTTGTGCCAAGGAATGCGAGGGACTCCCTGCCTCCATCTCCACAGCATACTGCCACGGTGCGTCTGGGTCCTATGTCTCCTCCTCTACCAGATGCTCCTGCCCCTCCACTCCTGTCCGCTGAGTGGAAAAAACCACCCATTTCACTCAATAATTCCTGAGCACCAATGTCCTCCTCTACCTCCTCTTCTTCCTGTCCTGCCCCCACAGGGGTCATGTGGCGTTGAGATCTGTGCGCCACGTCTACCGCACCCTGACCAGCCATTGTTAACAGCATTTGTTCCAGGACGTGCAACAGAGGAATGACGTCGTTCATCCCATAGTCCTGCCGACTCACGAATAGCGTGGCCTCCTCAAAGGGCCTGAGCAAGCGGCAGGTGTCACGCATGAGCTGCCAATGGCTGACATCTAAGTTACACAGGGGAGTACCTTTATCCGCTTGTAACATCAGGAAATCGGTGATGGCCTTTCGCTGTTCGTAAAGGCGGTCTAACATATGTAGGGTTGAATTCCACCTTGTTGCAACGTCGCAGATCAGGCGATGCTGTGGAATTCCGTTCTGCCGCTGCAACTCAAGGAGGGTGTGCTTTGCGGTGTAGGAATGGCTGAAATGCATGCAAAGTTTACGTGACATTTTAAGGATGTCTTGCAGTGGGATGGTGGATTTTAGGAACCGCTTGACAACCAGATTGAACACGTGAGCCATGCATGGCGCATGGCACAACCTTCCTTGACGCAGAGCAGACACCATGTTCTTTTCCGTTGTCGGTCAACATGGTTCCGATTTTCAGTTTGCGCGGAGACAGCCATCTGTCGATTTCTCTGTTCATTACACTCAGAAGTTCCTCCCCTGTGTGACTACGTTCGCC